CAAATAAGACTGAACAATATAAAGTAACATTTTCGTCTGATGTTGAGGAAGAGATGAGTTAGTGTTCTCGATCTGTTGCTGGAGACTAGTCAGCTCTTCTTGATATAAGTGTTCGTAATGCTCAATCTTGTTTTCATATTCTTGTAATTCAACGTTTAATATGAATCTCTTGAGTTCTTGTAGTATCTTCAGGCGACTATTGCTCAGCTGCTTTACATCGAGGTTAGGTATGATGGCAGAATCGAAAGATGTTGGTAATCGAGGGCATGAAATGCGTTGCTCGAACATCGTCAATTCTTCGAACACTTTCATTTGTTTCTGTCGGATCTTGAGGGTGAGGGTGAGGGTGTGAGGGTGTGAAGTGGGTGCGGATGGGTTGATATCAATGTGAGGGTGTGGGTGGGTCCGGATGGGTTGATATCAATGTGAGGGCGCACTATGAGTGCAGAAGGATTATCAGCAAAATGAGAGTGTGTGGTGGGTGTCAAGGGCTTATCACAGCGGTGATAGCATGCAAATAAGCGTGCAGCAAAACTGTGGAGAGCTTAACAGTGAAGTGAGGATTCCCAATGCACAGGGACGGCATACAACTGCTGCAACCGTACACCACGCGTACTACACTACTTAAATATTTCAAAAAAACCCCTTGAACTTTTCAAAATGTATCTAAGCACCCAAAATCAGATTTCAAGTTTAAACAGCTACGCAACATCACAATCAAGCCAAATTAGCACCGATATGATATATCTCATATCAAAAAGCCACGTGTGTTAGCTCAAACTATAGGGACATCACCGAAAGAGAATGAAAGAGAGACGAATCGAGAAAAAGTGATCTTCGTGGGACCCGAACCAACACCTTCTGCTACCCGGGCAGATGTCCTAATCCAATTAGACTAGAAGGACCATCTCAATCTCTAGTCTAGCGTTGCGTGATTCATCACAAACGCTAGCAACATGCCAACACCAGTCTCCAATAAACAACTAAACACAAGATCTCTAATCTTCCACAAGATGTCACCCTAATCCGATGTTACTGCCCATTCCCCTCATTGTTTCTCAGCACCAGAATTCGATATATAAACAACGCGGAAATAATCTATATTGTACCATTCGCAACCATATGAGCGGTACATTGAACACCTTCTTATCGGCTATCTGTCGAACTACGCAGATCATGTAGGCTTATCTATGATCTTCGGATCATTTGGATAGCTTATGTCGTCTAAAGCCATCTGATGAGTCCTCTAGCAGGGACGAAATCGCGATAATGGCAAGCTTTGACTCACCCACCACACCCACACCCACCCCTCGCCCTCAAATAGTTTAATTGGTAAAATAGCCGACCGGTTATCGGAAGATGTGGGTTCGAGTCCTACTTTGATTTCATGATCTTCTTTAACAAATTGTTCGTATTTGTTAAAACATATCTCTGTGGTTTCCTTTGAATAACTTGACATCGATACAGTCGTGGACAAATGGAAAGATTTCTAATTATTGATTCTTTTATACCTATTTTCAAACTCACCCACCCACACCCTCACCCTCACCCTCAAACAAACAAACTTTTTTTTATATGACCCTCCTTTCAGTCGAGGGAATATATAAGAGTTTTGAATTATCTTGTAATTCGAGTTTGATGAATTATTTTGTAATTCATTTACGTCATCCAGTGATTACACTTAGTAAATGTTCATATTATCTACATACAGTATTATTTTTAATATTCATCTGAATATTTTTTTCCCCATAGTTACCTGTATATCTTATAGCATAAAATGGCGGTCAAAAAATGACGAATATCGCCACAAGAATGTCAAATTTTGCCGTGTTACCGACAATTATCGTTTCTAGACCCTATCCTTACAGTCTAGGGAACATAAGTATTATTATTAATAAAATCTACGACTATAAATCTTGGACCTAAATCAGCTCAATACATGTGTGTAATTATGAAAGATCTTGTATTATATGTAATAAATATGTCAACTATATCACTATCATCATATGCAACAACAATTTTTGATCGTCCTTCGTCATTAACAAATGAATAACATATAATATCTCTCAGTGAATAAATTCTAACTTCAGTATACTTGCATTCATAAAAAGAATAAAAAACATCAAATATTGATGAAACATGCACAGAAACGTGTTAAAGCTACCGTCATGCAAATCAGCACGTAATATGTGCCGAAAGCGAGAATAATCTCTCATTAACTATTTGAACACCTGAATTGGATACCATCTCATTGTGGAAACAGTATTTATGATTGAGCACAACCACGTTCCAAAATGTTCGATTTAAAGATGCGACGCTTGATCGCTTACGAGTATATTTTCCTTGCACCTCTCATTGTTTCTTTATTATTTGTTACAACAAACGGGCAGTTTATCCTGTATAAAACTGATCGACAAAGCAGTTCTAATTTGGAATATGATTGTTTATATTATCGTGTGTCAAGTGCTATGTACATTGATGATCTGAAGCTACCGAAAGATGGAATGCCACATGAAATTATCGCTTACTGTATGCGTCCTACCGAAGAAGAGATAAATCCTTCGACCCTATTTTCTGTGAACAATGTAACAAAGCTGACTTTTGCAGAGTTATATCTTCAAAATATCACTGCAAACACTCTACTGCTCAAGTCTGCGCCTATCGAACTTGCTGAACAATATCAACAATACATTGATTGTCCATCTCCTGATAATGCTAATCAAACTTTTATCAACTGTCCGCCACCATGGTTCGGATCAGCGTGCCAGTATACATTCGAATTTTCGAGCGGCACCATCAGCTCGTTCGCCGAGGTTGTCAAGCACACGTTCCAGGCAAAATGGGTTAAAGAATATGCACATACAGTTCCTGTTACAAATCTAACATGTTATAGACATTTAGAATGTTATCGAGGACCGGAACCCATGTGTCTTGATTGGAGAGAAATATGCGATGGAAAAATTGACTGCGTAGGTAATGGACTAGATGAAGAATCTTGTTTAGAACTCGAAGCAAACGAATGTGCTCCTGATGACTATCGATGTCACAACGGTATGTGCATTTCTGATGAATTCCTGCGTGATGATCCTTGGAATCCGGAATGTCTTGATGGAACGGATGAAGGCATACTGCACAGATACCCGGCCTGGTGTCCTCTAGATCCGACATTTCGTTGTGAGGAGCGTGCTTGCCGCCGTCAGATATATGAATTCGCATGTGGCGATGGCCAATGTGACACAAATGATAACGTTTTTTCGCGCTCACCCGCATGTCATAATGGGCGTCAGAAATTAAGCCAGCGAGCACTTCTCGCATTCCAAGCTGAAAACGAAGCATGTTGGTCGAAAATGACTTGCCTGCTGGGAATCGTTAGTTTTGATGAAGGACAATGTGAAGGAATATGCAAAACCTCTCTGACCCGATGTATAAGGTCATTAAAGAACAGTTGCCCTGGTCCCTTCTTCTTTTTCCCTTCATATCCTGTACTCCTCAGTCACGTATATTTTCTTTTCAGTTCATCACGCATTGATTACTGGGCAAATCGTGCACCCGATTTTGTATGTTATGATAGTCAATTATGCCCCTTTCTACCATGGACTATGAAAATCAACGGATCCAGTTGTATTCACGTTCATGACCTAGGTTTCCGACATATGACGCAGTACTGGCATACATTCATCATTAGGGTGCACGAGATTTTTTCTACATGTGGACGCTGTCACAATTCTTCTTCCAACTTTTTCCAGTGTAACAACGGAACTAAATGTATTTCGATACACCGACTAGTAGACGGAGTAAATGACTGCATAGATGGTTCTGATGAAAAAATCGAATACAGCTGCACACTTACGGATAGTCACCATCGATTTGAATGTCCTTTAGAGAATAAAAGCCGATGTATTGCACCTCTACTAATACAAGATCATACTGTACACTGTACGGAAACTGACGAGGATGAGATCACATCGTTCCAGCGTCAGCAGCAGCAGCGTATTTCATTTGGCACACTGTGTGATGGTTTCATACATATGTCAGATAAAGAACAAAACGAGACCGACGAGACCAACTGTGAGCTCTGGCCGTGTAATAATCTTTACACTCGCTGTGATAATATTTGGAACTGCCTCAATGGTGCCGATGAACTTCAGTGCTATCCTTCATCCTGTCGTTCGAATGAACATCCTTGTTTATCTATTCAAGATAATGAGCTTATATGTCTACCACTAGAACGTACAAATGATGGTATAGTCGACTGTCGTGGCGCAGTGGACGAGCGTATGATTTGTCGCAGCACTCATGAATCCAGAAATTATCGCTATCTTTGCTTGAATGATACAAAGTGCATTGGATTACATGAAGTCTGCGACGTATTTGACGTTAGAAGTTGTCCACTAGGTGATGATGAATGGAACTGTCCAAAGCAAATCGATTCTGCCGGACAAGCCGTAGGCTTTTGTCACGATATTGAATCTGCTCAGCGCAGCATAGGTGACAAAATGTTGTGCAGCTTGAGCGATGAAGCTGAGCGCTCAACTGTTTATTTCTCACTTTCACATGAGAAAACACTTCGATTGGAGCCTGTTATACCCAGCCAACCAGTTGAGCCCTCTACTAGACAATACTCATTAATAGATCATGCTCGAGCATGGTCTTGTAACCGTGGCATTCCTATCAAAACTAATAACAATCAGCAAAAATGTTTATGTCCATCAAGTTATTATGGAAGCATCTGTCAATATCAGAATCAGCGTGTAAGTCTAACATTAAGTTTTCGAACACAAGAACGGCGTACTGTGTTTAACTTTGTAATCATTCTTACTGATTCTTCTACAACTATTTACTCTTACGATCAAATAGTACATATTCCTTCGCGTGATTGCAATATGAAATATCAGATACATCTTCTTTATCAAACGAGACCTAAATCATCTTTGAGCAACTACTCAGTGCAAATCGATCTCTTCGAAAAGGAAACTTTGAACTACAGATCAAGTTGGCGCTTGCCCATTCACTTCTCTTTCTTGCCTGTTAATCGTCTCTCAGCTGTACTTACAATACCTATTCGGAAGTCTAGTGGCTGTACACGTTCATGTCAACATGGTCTTTGTAGTATTTACGAAGGTACGTCAGAACAGTTCTGTCAGTGTGATTCTGGTTGGTTCGGGCCGTTGTGTGAAACTGAGATTCTATGCACTTGTTCGGTCCATTCACGTTGTGTTGGATTTGCTGAGAATCGCTCGATCTGCGTCTGCCCGACAGGTAAATACGGTCCACGATGCTATCTCAACCATATGGCCTGTGATCCAAACCCATGTAAATACGGAGGAAAATGTGTTCCTACAGATGCACAAATACCGAGTCGTAGCTTCACTTGCTTCTGCCCCGAGGGCTTTTCTGGATCAACGTGCGAGCTACGAGATTCTCGAATCGATATTACATTCGAACAAGTATCAGTACCAAACTATATACAAGGTCATATTATCACTGTACAGAACGACAAAGATCCTTTGCGCACAGACGTCTTGAAGAAAGTTCCAGTCGATCGCAATACAGTTATTCTCTACATATCAATTTCTTTTCATATACTCTTTGTACAAATATATACTACTTATTATTTACTGATGTCGAAAGCTGTTTATACACCATCAACTCACACTATATCAGTACCTACATGGAATCAGCGATGTGCTCCTTTACATGAGGTGCTGAATACTACTCTTCTCAATCATCCATTACGACGACGAGTGAAATACTATCATGTGCCGTGCCAACAACACCGTGACTTACTATGTTTCTATGACGAAACCTTCATGTGTTTGTGCACAGATGAGCGGCATGCTAACTGTTTTGAATTCGTTCACAATATAACTTCTGACTGTCAAGATACGAAATACTGTGGCAATGCAGGTACTTGCATTCAGGATCACCCTTTATGTCCGACAACATTTGTGTGTGTATGTGCGCAATGCTACTATGGCTCAAAATGTCAATTCACTACCGAAGGTAGCGGACTTTCTCTTGATACTATTCTCGGATACCACATCAGTCCACATGTTACCATTCACCATCAACCTTCAGTGGTCCAAGTGAGCATAGCTATCACGACCACAATGTTCGCATTCAGTCTCTTGGGTAACACATTGTGCATCTTGATCTTTCGACGAAAGATGATAAGTGAAACTGGTTGTGGATTTTATTTATTAATGTTGTCGATAGTATCTCTTCTTACTATGACAGTATTCATTCTCAAATTCTGGCTTCTTGTTCTCTCTCAAATGAAAATAATCATTCGTCCATCTACTTTGTATGCCAATTGTGTATGGACGGAGTTCTTCTTGAAATGCTTACCTCATGTGGGCGATTGGCTTTCAGCCTGTGTTGCCATGGAACGTGCGCTTACGATATATTCTGGCGCTAACTTCAATAAGAAAAAGAGCAAGCGAACTGCCAAATGGATAGTTGCCATGATTCTTCTCTGCAGTACTGCCACTGCTATACATGATCCTCTGCATCGACAACTGATTGATGATGCGGAGGAGCAACGAACCTGGTGCATACCCATCTATTCGTCTAGCGTACAAATCTTTAATCGAGTGATTTATATTATCCATTTTTTCGGCCCATTTATATTTAACTTTGTCTCAGCAAGTTTGGTTATCATCCAAGTAGCGCGTCAACGATTTACAACTCGTCAACATATCCCTTTGATGCAACATTTATGGCAGCAATTATGCGAACATAAGCATCTGATCATTAGTCCATGTATTCTCATTATTCTTGCTTTACCTCGCCTAATTATTTCATTCATTTGGGATTGCTTAAAGTCAGTCAGAGATCCTCGACTTTTCTTAGCAGGTTATTTTCTCTCGTTCATTCCTCCAGTGGTTATTTTTATTGTGTTTGTACTTCCATCAAAGATGTACAAGAAAGAGTTGAGCGACGTAGTAAAGCATATTTTCAATCGTAAGAGGCTTCATCAATATTTCAATGCTACTTTGCCAACGGCGACGACGAAGGCAATTCCTACTTTGTCCAAATAATATGTACATCTAAAAAGAAGTATGTAACTTCCTGAGGCTGTGAATAAAGCCCAATAACGATATATTATTCTTCGCATAGACGGCAAGTCCCCTATCATCTCCTAATCAACATTTACACTGACAGTTTCTATGTTCGTTTCTTATTTCTTTAATCATTTTCAATTATTTTGTGTTACACATCTCTCTTTATTAATTATTCTACCATTTTTCTAATAAATTCTATCAAGATGTTAGTTTTCATTGAAAAAAAATCGATTTACAATACGTTAAAACGTGTCATACAATTTCAATGTTATTACTTGCTAATATCGTTAACAATAATTTTCTTTGGAATAACAATGTTTAGTCAATCAATATTTTCATCACAAAAATTATTTACAACAAATTACCCAGGTTGAAACGGGTACATCGGATCCTGCCGGACGGATATTAAATCCGATGCTATCTGGATGATCGGATTCGGTCGGACACTTTTTGTCGGATTCCGATGCAATCCTCCGTTTGTCTTTGATATCCGATTATCAGATACGCTGGGTTCCTACCGGATTCATGCAACTGGATCCGACCAAATCCGATCGCGGGATCCGATGTCCAGAAATAATCGGTATATGCAGTTTCACACCTACAGGATTTCATGATAAAACCGTTCAATAACTGTTATCGGATCTTGTCGGATCATATAAAAATATAGGATTTCCGTTGATCGAATTTCTTCATGTTAGATGAACGCAGATCCGGTCGGAAACAGTGACTGGAAGTATATCAGAAATAATCGGAAAACTACGTATGCAGATGGGTGAGGTAGCTAGCATACTGTCAAAGAAATAATGTTTCATAGTAGAATTGAAAACTTATTTTGCTACGTTTTATTGAACAAAATTCCACCAATAATTGAAATGATGATATCTCTATCATGATGATAGAAAAAAATCAGATTTGATTAACGACACATAGTTGCCCTACATCGAGAAATAATTCAATATTTCGACAACTTAAATAAGATAAGAAATGCTGTTAAAATTAACAAAACTTGCGTACAGTGATAACATCAAGCAAACTGTTTTTTTTCTTTTGAAAAAGCTAATAATTATCGATGATTTAAATAAATTTCAATTCGTTTTATGTCAATAAAAATCATATTGCTTTCTCTCCTGATAATCCTACTGTCGTTATACAAAGGGATAAATCGGCAAAAGATATTGACAATTTTCATTAATTACTAGAAACGATCTTAGTTGAATAATATTAATAATCGGTTAAGAGCTAATAAAAACACAATGAAATCTACTCAGTAAAAAATCTCCTCGAAGGAATCATGGTTGTGTCTGATGATATGGGACATATAACCGGATTATGTCTTAGCGTACTAGCTTTTTTCCAAAATAATTCGGTTAAAATATAAAATTGAATTTGTTTTAAAACTCATATTTCAACAACCGTTTCTAGACGATTTTAATCGATTATTTCATAAAAAATCATATGAAATTTTACTTTGTAATTATTAATTAATTCCAATCAATTAGTCAGAAAAAATCGGTTGGAATCTTGAAAATCAGTTAAAATCTAAGAAATTGATTAAGTTTCAATTAAATTATAAATGATTATTTCGAAACAAATCGGATGCAATTGAAAAATCGATTATAATTTAGAAAATTAATTAAAGTTTCAATTAAGCTAAATCTGATTTCATGATTTTGAATCGATTAAAATCTCAATTGTAAAAAATCAAATTCCACAATTATCAATCTATTTTAATTGATAAACTGGTCCAAAGTCAAAGATATTTCAAGAAGTGACTTATAATTCAACTAATAGATTTAAATATCAATTAAATGAAATTCGATTTTCTAATTAAGTATTCATTATAATCATTTACTCAATGAAAAAGTATATAAAATATTTTGATCATCGTCAACTGGTTCATTAGAATAGTTTTTCCCCGACGAAACTAAGATTTGTACTATCAAAATTTTTATAAAAGGCAGGTGGAAGAAAGTTGTATAACTTTTGATTGAAAAGTTATTTCGAACTGCGGTTGCCACCATTCAGTAGAGGAGGGTCGGGGGCAGATATCTATGTGGAAGAGTCGTCATTCAAAGTACTTTTTCAAGTAGGTTTTCGCCGACGAAATTTAGCATGTATTAGCGAATCTTTTTTAGGACTTGTTTTTAATGATATTGGTACCCCGACATGCCCATTGCACACTGATATCGAAGGAATTTTCTCACTTTCCTTACTGGAAATACCAGAGATATTTCAACGGTGAAACTATACGTAAGACATTTCTCGCTAAAAAATGAAAATTTGATCAAAATATAA